TCAGGACGGTAGTAAAGTGCCATAGACTGGGAGTTAAAGGTGGTGAACTACGGCCGTAAGCGGTGAATAATGAAAGGCGAGACAGCCAGATGACCCCGCTCTGAATGGCGAGCTTCACTACATTCCTAGCAAAAGTCGCGTCGCCATGGACTTGAACCATGTAATGCAGCGCCCATGAGCGCGACGTTTGCCACTGCACCACAAAGCATTGCTGTGTTACTTCGAAAGAATTGTAGAAAGCAAGGTAGGATCCTATGAGGGTTGCAAAACATCCAGTATCATGGAGAACTGATCCCGCGAGCGATCCAATGTCAACAAGGAACGAACCCACTGCGCCAATCGACGTGTTGTAACCTAGGATCATGGCCTAGATGATTGTACAGTAGTGAAATGCTCCCGGGACCAAGGAAGGAGCTATAACACGATCAATAAGTGGAACACTGCGGGGGACAGCTGATCACCTTATTGGCAGAAAGTTATCAATATTATCGATAGCTCCAGTGGCTTTCTTGCTGCCTCCACTCAACACCTTCCACGTACCCCTTTCTTCCCTGCGCTCTGCGCATGGCAGGGACGGAGAGACGCTCAATGCGACCAATGCATGACGTGCAGAGAAAGGGGAAGTGCATGGGGATTGAAGAGACGCAGATAGGCGGCGATGCTATTAGGTTGTCTCAGAAGTTCGTGCGTATTTTGAACTTATTTTTGAGCCTGCACTATTCCAAGCACGTGTGCAACCTATCATCATTATATGTACCACCACTATCAGTGACTTGTTACCAACATCCAACCAAAGATTGGCAACTTAACTCTCAAAGGGCTGGCAGTTATGAGCTGAAAAAGGCAGTGAGGTCGATTTTGAGGTGCTAATGGGAATCGTATTTTTTGTCGTCAAGAAGGCGGCTGAGCAGAAAGGGCAGATGTCTTTCGAAAGAGAATGACTACCGCTGCACGATGAATGTGGTAGGCCTTTTCAGCTGGGCTTCGATATTCAGAATCGCTTCATTATCGAAATGTGTGGCCTCGGGTGTTGTGTGGAGCGTACACACTTTTTCGAGTTTTAACGACATTTGTTGGGGTTTCACCGTGAGTCTCTCTGCCGTTGATCTCCCTACACTTGAGTGAATTCATATCTATAATGATTGACATGTCTCTAGTGGCTTACTCGATAACGCTCCAAAAGAGGTGGAGCACGACCTTGTGGTGAATTTCTTCACTTTTCACCCTCTTCTGTCCGATCTAGTCCCTGAGCTTCTCAACTGCAGTAGTAGCTTTGTTCAACCAGGGCGTACGGATGGAGCTGGACACAAATTGTAGACGGGACTCGTGCCGCACTCCTGTCATCAGTGATCAACTCATGAGGGAATCTTTGGTGAGGCTTCAACCATTCTACGAAGGAGCGAGAACCTCTACGCATTGTGCATCTGTGGGGGGCTGTTGGTGGTGGCCAGGGATGTGGTTGCCACAAAGCAGGTAGCCCCGTGTGGAGTGACTCCCACGAGAGAGCACAGATTCTCCAAATCCGACACTGATGGCCTCTCTGAACGTGGATTTTTCTACCGGCTGTAGTCTCCTGGGCAGAGAAGATCCAGCTATTCTGATACCTCACTGTTGGTGAGGGGCGAGGAGATGTATCGCAATGCACGGTTTGTTGGTCGCTCGAGGCTTAATCGGGTGTGTGGCTCGTGTGGAAGGCTGTTCAGTCAGAGGCTCGCGAAAAACATAGCTCTTTTCTCTTTCCACTTTGAACTCGAAGAAGGCGACGATGGTGGGCAGGATTCGGGTATAAGCTACTGCACAGTGTGCCCTATCCACAGCCTACGTGAACACATTTTGAATTTGTTGAAGGAGCTTGTGGCATGAGATCCAAAAAATACGCACGAACTTTCGAGACAACCTAATAGAAAGTAGGATGGGCAGGTGGAAACGGAGGAATTCAACCATCGCTCTCTGCTGTGCGAGAGTAGAGCCGATAGTGAATGTACGCGCGGAGAGCACAGACGGCTCGCGGGTGGCGAGAGTGAATATCCGCGCGCGAGAACGTAAAGGATCAGGCGAAAATCCTCGACGTGCCGTTGAGGAATCCTCAAGCAATATTCACCCTGATCTCAGGCCTCAAATTATGTCGCCTTACATGACCGCTAGCTGTCTATACGTTTACTTACCTCCCAGGCGATAATGTGCTGTCAAAAGCCTAATTCACAGGGTGAAGTCGTCCGACTAATTATAACTGTGTCTGTCATGGCTCAGTTAGAGAAAAAGGAGGCGTTTCGAATGAGATTCGTAGGACGATGGACTCGCATCAGGGTCCAGGGTCAAGGAATTTGGGGTCGAGCACGACCCTACTCGAGAAATGCTCCGAATCTTTTCCGCTTCAGCTCGTGTTTGCTTCTACCTATGACAACAACCTTCCGCTCATCTTAACTGCCACCCCTCCTAATTTTGCTCTCTTACTCTTAGTACATATTTCGTGAGGAATTAGTCAAACCGTAGCGTGCATGGAAAGCTAGACACCCCACCTCAATTTCTCTGGGAATTTTCCAATTCAAAGGATTGAAAACATCCGATTCTTTTCTGAGATGTACATCACATTCGGCTCCCATTTAAAATGTGACTTCCCAAGCGCTTCCTTGGCATATGGAATGGGTTCAGGGGTCAATGTAGAGCCCGACGTTTTCATCCTCCCAGGGGGTTTGAACTGTCCCTGGAAAGATATAAGCCGCTGTCTTCTGGTCAACATCCAAAGGCGAAATCCGATAATAAGTTCTCCGGATTAGCGATTCACCCTGACATTGCCATGGCTTGGCTAACACTTGATTCATTTATATTTTGATCGAGACATACTAGGATAAGGGTAGTTAAGAATTGAAAAAGCTTCTCAAATTTGTCATGATGTAATTAAAATCTTCTTAAGACCTACTTGTTGTTGGTTTTACGTGAAGTGTCTGTCGATCCTAGGCGTTCCCTGCATTTCACGATTTGTTTTGTGACATTCTTCGCCAATAAATCACTCTGTGTGCAATAGCAAAAACAGTGGTGCATCGGCCGCTTAAGAAGAATCCGGACAACATCACTACAGGTACGGTAGTTCCATATACTACCCGGCTTTGCACGAAAAGATTATCTCGCTGATTTGGAAGATTCTTTTTCGCTGATGATAGACTGCATGCACTATGACTTCGACCGTTCGGGCTTATAAAGGACTCCTGACTAAACGAAGTAAGATAGTCTCTGACTGGATACAAGAGAACGCTACCTTAGTCAGCACGGTCCCAGGTTCAGATCCCGAAAGACTGGAGTGGATTAGTGATATTAGGGCTTCCTTGAAGGTGTGTAATGATAACATTACCCTCTTGGAAACTACGATGGCTAAGCTCGCCGACGCGTTTGATGACTTAGAGGAGCACACTGCAGATGAAGAAGTGCAGCTGAATAAGTACATAGACGGCGCGCAGGATACTATAATGAAGTTACATCTTCATAAGGCAGAAATTGAGCGGCGTATCAGTCGTTACACTGAAACAAATCTCACAGAACGGCAGAATATAGGACCTTCTACGGTAATGCCAACGCTTGCGCTCAGCAAACTCCCCGAAATTCCCATTCCCACTTTCACTGGCAAGAGATGGGACTGGGATAATTTTTGGGCTCTATTTCAAGCCAATGTGCATAACCAGGACTTAACTGAGCTCCAAAAATTCAATTATTTACTGGCATCGTTGAGAGGAGAAGCGAGGCAATCGATTTCTCGGTTCCATGTTACGCCAAGCAACTACATAAAAGCCGTCGAACATCTTCAACGGCGTTACGGTAATAGGGACGGCATAATAAGAGAGTTGCATAAAAACCTCAGTAACTGTGCAGCGCGAGGGTCAGGAACTAGTGACCAAAGACAGCTTTTTGAGAGACTGGCAGTAATAGCAGCACAATTACGGGAGCATGGCGAACACTTGGATAATCAGTTGACCATTCAAACCTTTCTGCAGAAATTTCATGGAAGGATACAGAAGACTGCGATGGAGGAACATTTGCAAAAACAGCAAGGAAATAGCCCTGAGTGGAGTTTGGAGCGCTGGCTCAGTGCGATTGATACGATCATCACGAAGGAAGAGACATTGAAAAGCATGCTTCCCAAAGAATCGGGTGTGGAAAAACCACACGATTCCAGAGAGAGGCTTGGGGGTAATAACTGTGAATACTGTAGACAAAAGGGACACCGTTGGAATTCGTGCCCGAAAATTCCATCCCCCTTTGCGCGAAGGAACTTCTTGATTAACACGAAGAGATGTCTCAACTGTGGGTCACTAGCACATCAGGTGTCGTCATGTGCTAGTGGTAGTTGTCGTAAGTGTAACGGTAAACACCACACTGCGATATGTTCCAAGAGTGCAACCCATATGCAAGAACAGGATCCACGGCTCTCAGGGGCATCAAGTCAGAAGAGGGATCCTATGCAGCAGACCTCTCTCTCCAGTGTTCCGTCTTCTAAGAAGGTAGGAAAGGGTAGTAAGAAACCCCAGTCTTCCTCAAAGCAGCATGTGGTCACTTTGGATCTAACCGAGCCACAACTGCCACAGCATCATCAGGATGACGATGCTGTGGTGCTACATATGAAGGAAAGGCATGTACTCAAAAGCAACCGGGAAAAGGTTGTTCTACTAGCAGGTTCAGTGGACGTACAGGACTGTGTAGGAAAGCTACGAAAGGTTATTGTGTTACTCGACACTGGATCTGAACTCTCCTTTATTGATGAACATCTCGCGAATGAGCTCGGATTAAAGGTAATAGAAAAATCGCCTCTGCTCATAAGCACATTTGGTTCACCGAAATCGATGTTGAAGGAGTGTGATGTCACAACGCTCACTATACGTGATATAGAGGGAATGCGCCACGAAGTTCGCCTCCATAAGAATGATTTCATTACTGGCACTATTGAGCAGGCAGATTTGGAGCAACGTGATCTCGACTTTATTGCGAAGCAAGACCTCGTCCTATCGTTGCCACTCAATCAACATGGTCTACAACCTCAGATACTTCTCGGTTGTGACTATCTATGGAACTTCATGGTACCAGTAGGTCGTCTCGTTCTTCCTTCTGGACTATGGTTGATACCCACGAAGTTCGGCTACATCATTAGTGGCAAGAAGGCAAGAAGTACATGTAAGCCAACATCAGTTCTGCCAATAGTGGCATCGGAATCGGAAAATGAAGCCTGGGATCGATATTGGTCGCTGGAATCTTCAGGCACAGAGGAGTACACGGGAACGCAACGGACAGAACAGCAAATAATTAACGAGCAAGTACTGAAGGACTTCAGAAACACGATTCAACGTCGGAAAGATGGGTACTATGTTCGACTGCCATGGAAACATCAGCACCCCGCACTACCAGATAATAAGTTCATTGCACTGAAACGTCTGCAAAAAATTTTCGAGACTTACGCTAACGATCCCGAAACTTTGAAGCAGTACGATGGAATTTTCCATGAACAGCAGAAAATGGGCATTATCGAGGAAGTTTCTGAAGACCAGCCTGCCGGACATTTAATCCACTATTTGCCACACCGTGCAGTCATCACACCAACAAAGGAAACGACAAAAATGAGGATTGTCTTTGATGCCTCAGCGCACTACAAGGATTCTCCCTGCCTGAACGATGTCTTGCACCAAGGTCCATTATTGCTACCAGGTATTGTAGGGATGCTACTACGTTTCCGAGCCCACAACATAGCGGTGATTTCAGATGTGGAGAAAGCGTTTCTCCAAATACGTTTACAAGAAATCGACCGTGACGCGACACGTTGCTTGTGGGTTCGCGACATCACTCTTCCCGTTACAACGGAGAATATCGTGACCTACAGATTTACAAGAGTCACATTTGGCCTTAACACGTCGCCGTTTCTCTTGGGAGCAACAATTGATTTTCACCTTTCAAACCTCGAACCTTCAAGCGAAGTGGCACAGGAAATAAGGCAGAACTTGTACGTAGACAACCTGATTTTTGGAGCTCGAACATCGAAAGAAGCGCTAAGAAAATATCATCAGTCGAAGGAAATATTTGAGGGCCTCAATATGAATTTGAGGGAATTCATGTCTAACGACGAAACATTCAACCAGTCCATTAGCGACAGCGACCTCTCTAAAAACACTCACCCAAAAGTTCTGGGAATACCATGGAACAGTACAACCGACAGAATTGTTCTTAAGGGTACTATGATGCCTCAAAGAGAAGTTACGAAGCGCACAGTTTCGCAGCAGTTGGCATCGGTGTTTGACCCCTTAGGTCTGCTTGTTCCCTTACTTCTCCCAGCGAAAGTGTTCTTGCAGTCCCTCTGGAAAGAGGGATACGCCTGGGACACTCCACTACCATCGAATCTACGAGAACAATGGAGACTCATCGCGGGACAAATATCAACATTCTACAAGGAACTGGAGAGACAAAATTTGGATAGCCAGTTGAGATACAAGTTATTTGCCTTTGCTGACGCTAGTCAGTTCGCTATAGCCACTTGCGTTTATCTTGTATCGGCAACAACTTCACACCTCATTATGGCGAAATCCAAACTAATATCGCTGAAGACCTCGATGACGATACCTAAATTGGAAATGAACGCTCTCACATTGAGTGCAAGAGTTGTATACTTCGTCGTTGAAGAACTGAGTACACTCTGCAGGATAGATGAGATCATATTCTTATCTGACTCTGAGATCGTCCTCGCATGGGTTAAGACCTTACCACCAAGGAAGAATGTGGGATCGCTTGTATCGAACCGTCTCAGAGAAATTGGAAGAAATTATCACTGATTTACAAACGAAGGGAATAAGAAGTCAGTTTGGACACGTATCGACGGCTAACAACCCCGCGGATTGTGGGACGCGGGGGCTTTCATCCGACTCCCTACTAAATCACTTTTGGTGGGACGGTCCAGAGCTCATAAGAGATTCAGCTGGAGCACGGATTGACGAAAAGATTTTCCCATTTTGCCAGTCCGAAGTGGAAAACGAAGAGGATCCAACATCAACGGTAATCACTTCCATGGTAACATCGCAAAAGGTGGAACTCGAAGAAAATACAATTTTCCGGCTATCGCGAGTCAGCTCCCTCCACAAAGCGCAAAGGGTGGTTTCCTATGTTATGAGATTCATCGAACGCTCACTACGAAGTTTTCCGCTCTTTAGGAAAGAGGAAATTTTTCGGAGGATGCCCGGACTTAAAGCAGCTGCTACAACTCATGAACTGAATGGCGTAGAACTTAAAGAGGCGAGAAAATGGATTATTCGAGACCACCAAGCCGTTTACGTGACAGAGCAGAGAATTAAGTCACAGAAGGACCTGAATATCCGAAGAGATGAAGAGGGAATGTTGCGATGCTACGGACGCTTAGAACACGCCGAGATCTCTGAATCGTCTAAGACGCCCATATACATCGCACCAAATACTGCATTGGCCAGACTAATCATAGCAGAAGCACATGGTCAGTACCATTGTGGGATTGGTCATACAATGGCAGTAGTCCGAGAAAAGTACTGGATACCGCGACTGCGCCAGCAAGTACGAGCAATTGTCCAGAAATGTATACCATGCCAGAAGCTCAATAATCTCCCATTCCTTTATCCGCAGATGGGAAATATGCCTCCGACACGAGTTCAAAGATCACGTCCCTTCGAACATATAGGTTTGGACTATTTTGGACCTTTGACCGTGACGATTACTGGAGACCAACGTTCGAAAGCCTACGGATGCATCTTCACATGCCAAACGACACGCCTAATCCATTTGGAACTGGTAGAAGATCTGACAACAGAGGCATTCCTCAATGCACTTCGCCGATTTTTCGCCCGAAGAGGAGTGCCTAGATCAATCACATCGGATAATGCGCCCACCTTTCTGCTAGGGGAACAAATATTACTCGATAGCTTCCAGCGAATGGTGCAGGACGCCGAAGTTGAGAGTGCACTAGCGCAGAGAGAAATAGAATGGATCCATATCACGCCTTTTGCACCGTGGCAGGGTGGATTTTACGAGAGGTTGATTCGGTCCATAAAGCACTCGTTATACAAAGCACTCGGAAAGCGGGTTGTGTCATTCACTGCACTACGAACGATGCTGGTAGAAATTGAGGCTGTTCTGAACTCACGACCTTTGACCTACCAAGAGGAAAAATGGGAACAGCAACCGATTCTCCGGCCCATAGACTTCTTGCAAAGTAGCATAATACTCGACTTTCCGTTTGAACACATTGGCGAAAATGGGGACGTCACGTACCACACACCCGAAGAGGCACAACAATTGTCCACTCAACGCAGAGTCGAGGAAGCTCTGAAGACGTCAGTCAAGTTGACGGAAGACTTTTGGCGAATTTGGAGAGAGCAGTACATCACTGGATTAAGAGAACATCATAAAATCCATATGGATAATAAGAGGGGCGCGAGCAAAAGGCCAAGGGAAGGAGATGTGATCCTGGTATGCGAGTCGACACAGCCCAGGAACAAATGGACAATTGGACGCATAGTAGAACTTCGTGCTCATACTTCTGGCGTGACGCGAGAAGTCATAATCGAATTGCCCAATAAAATGAGGATACGACGCCCCGTTAATGGAGTTGTACCGTTGGAAATAAATAATGGATCACCTCTATTGAAGCAGGACACGTCATCACCTCCACTGACTCCCAGTTCTCAGCTTCGGTACAACTTGCGGCAGCGGAAACCGATTAATTACGGAGAGTACGACAGTGAAGACGATCATCCGAAGTTGAAAGAGGATCACCCCTCCCACCCCTCCCATTCCTCCCACACTCCCTCCAACCACCTCACCCCCTCCCTCGTCATCCCCTTCGCTATTCCCTTCCCCTACCCAGTGTCCTCACCCATCTTCGAAAGGACTCGGCGTAAATACCATAAGAACTTGGCCCCTTCTCCTCGTCGCTTTCTGCTGTATCATTGGCGCAGCCACTTCGACAGACATGCAAGAGAACCATCAGCTTTCTTGCACAGTTGGAGGAGTAATTCTCACGCAGCCGTCACAGCATCAATATGAAATTTGCTCTGAGGACTTCTGTGTGTCATACCAATCACCCCGAACGAGGGAAACAGTACAATTCCCACCTCATGTGACACTGCATGAACACGTCGTCAAGTGGAAGATATTCGACGGTGAGAAAGTCAACATACTGGAAACCACCTGCAAAGCGGCTCCCTTTTGCTCACAAGTCGACTGCACATTCTGCGTAGCCACATTGGCAAACCCAGAGTGCTGGCCGCAGACAACGATCTTCCTGATAGGATTTTTGGTGTACATGCTTATCACGCTATGCTACTTTCTCTTCCACGTGCCAGTTATCCTGGGCAATCCAATACTCTACTTCGGACAGACTGTCGCAAGGATGGGATTTTTAGTTGCGACATCAATAA